AGCTGCTCACTTACTGTCTCCCTATTTATGTTGGGCATCATCTCCCTGTCAGTCATCTTCTGCTCTTTCCAGTCCCAAAATAATTCTTCTTGGAAAAAGAAACAGAAATCACAATAGTCAAATAGTTCAGTCTTATTTCCATCTTCTGATATCTATTCTTAGCAATGACCATCATTGATCATTCTCCTTAACAGAGTGAAAAAAAAACCAACCTCTTCTGTGGTCCTTAGTTCTCCTTGCAACCCCAGCTAATTGAGTTTTAGGACTTCAAGTATTTAAACAAAAAAACAAAAAAAAAAAAACAATAAAATCCACGGATTGTATTGATACCCTTTCTTTCCTAATCTCACAGTCACTTTCTGAGACATACCATTCCTCACTCCTTTTATTGGAGACTTCCCATGTAACTGAGAAAAACACAAATGACATAGTGATCACATCTGAAAGTTACACCATATTCCATACTTGTAGTGCACTTTCCCATGACCAAGACTGATCCTGATACTATTCTTATAAGACTATGCTCATATTTTATATTCATTCTCTATTACCTTACTTTACTTCCACATTTTTAAAATTAAAGTTAGTCCCTGTGCTTCCACTTCCAAGTCTGGGGAAGCTCTTGATTCCACAGATTTTATTAATTTTCATCCTAGCAATGAGTTCTACTCTGTTGATGAGAATCAGATCCAGAAAAGAAGATACTCTCATTGGTTCCTCCATTTTTCAAAGGATGAAATTATCATGAAAGCAAATCATGGACTCATTAGTTGCTCTGCTTGTGGGTAGAGAGTTTCAGCAGATGTTTTGATGACTGGGACACCACCTGATGGCATTGTTCCTACTCATCCTTAAAAGCCTCAGTCAAATATTCAGTCTTCTATGAAGCCTTCCCTGAATCCCTGTAGGTAATGGTCTTCCTCCTTCAACCTGGCTTAGCAATTTGCATATCACTTATTCATTCTCTTATTACATAATGAGAGGTAATACTCCTTGTCACTTGTATAATCTATTTCCTTGACTAAACTGTAAGCTCCCTGAGGGCAGTAATCAGGCATAACATCCAATCTCCATGCTCCCTGCCTTTGATCATGCTGTCCTTTATGCCTGAAAAACCTTCCCTCCTGAGATTAGTCTCTCAGAATTCTCCCAGGCTCAGTCTAGGGGCCGCCTCCTCCAAGAAGTCTTTTCTGATTCTCTCAGTTGTTAAAGCAACTCGCTGCTCACTACCATCACCACCATAGTACTTTGCATTTACTTATCCATGAACATGAGCAATAAAGGGTAAGCTCCTTGAGAAGCTGACAGGTTTTTTTTTTTCAATTTTATCTCTGTATCCCAGAAGCTTAACACAACTCTTGGCACATAGTGGGGATTTAATAAATGCTTCTTGAATTTAACATATCTTATCTAAGCTTTGTATCTTCCCTAATGCCCAACTCTGTACTCTGTCTACAATAAGCATTTGATAATTTATAAATGAAATGAAGTAGTGAATACGTCCTACAACTCAGACATGACCCTTCACTGTCCCCCTCAAACAAACAAGTCCTGTGTTCTCCAATCTTCTCTCTTTTGCTCACTTTCCTATTTCTGGAATTATCATCTACTGATATTCTACCCATCCTTTTCCCCTATCTCCTTGAGCTGGATGTGATCTGAACCCTCAGATGATCTCTAAGCACTTTCTATTGCTTTTAGGCACACATACATGTGAAATTATATTTTTCCTCTGTGTATGTTTTTATTTTTTATCACTCATAATAAATTGTAAGTTCCTCGTGGACCATTAACTGCCTCAAGATGATGCTAAATAAATGCTTGTTTAACTAATTAATCAATTAATATGCTCTCCCATGTGGGAGGCCAGAATACCAGAGGCAGTCTATTAACCCCTGGTCTAAACAGGAATGGCAATGTTCTGAATGAGGTGGGGAATGGGTTCAGTAGCTGTGTTGGGACCTAGCAGTCAGTTTCAAAGGCAACAATGATGGTTGAGCTCCAGATGAGGAGAAAGACTAGGCATTCTTTTAGGAAGCTTTGATGATCTGTGATCATGGAGAGAGAGGGAGAGACAGAGGGGGAGAGAGAGAGGGAGAGAGAGAGAGAGGGAGAGAGAGAGAGAGAGAGAGAGAGAGAGAGAGAGAGAGAGAGAGAGAGAGAGAGAGAGA